ATGTAGAAAATAGTGTGGCTAAACTAAAAAAAAATAGTGGGGGTGATTTAGACTTGAGTTAGAAAATAGTTGTGCTGATGTATAAAATACTGGGAGTGAGGAAAGCTTGATGAAAAGAGTGGGGATAAAATGGAATAAATTCTCCTTTCACCTCCTTTCCGCTCTCTAGCTAGGTTCTGTTGTCTGCTTTCGTCTCCACTTTCTGCCCCCACCCCTCAACTCCTTTGTCCCCTCCGGGCTCCTGACTCTGTCTGCAGCCTTTCTACTGCTACTGCTACTCATTGACTCCATCTTTCTGATATCTTTCAGCCACACTCCAAATCTTCTGGCAGGAAAAATCTACACCTAGTCATTTCGGTCAAGTCGAAAAATCCCGGAGGTTCCAGGAGCAAGTTGCGCACGTTAAAGATTCCTTTATGGTCTAAAATCGATAAGAGTAGGCTTCGACCGCCACCTGGGCAAAATTCAAAATTTCCTACCAACTGAAAAAGTTTGGTGTGTCCCGCGCGCTCATATGACCTTATGCAGTTGCGAGCGCCACTGGCGTCTGTGGTGCAGCGTTTAGACACTTCGCTGCCGCTCACAGGAGACCCGAGTTCGATTCCGTTGAAGGGAGAAGCTCTATCCTATATCTCGGCGGTCTTTCTTTCTGCTGGGTCGTTGTATCCCTCTGATCCCGGGCTGGCCTTGAAAAGGAGGTTTGGGGGGGGGGGGGTCGACACTCGCCTTCTAAAAATGACCCAAACTGTATTGATGGGATACCGTATTGATGGGGGCTTAAAATAATCGTTCCTACAAAAAGAGAGGCCACTAAGGAGCCAGCCAACAACCCGCGGAGTTTGGGAATAATTGTTTACTAATGAGGGACTCCAGGAAGTCAGCAGGGCGCAGCAAGACGTGTCTCTGTAGGTGAACACGGGGCCTAAATAAAACTGGACAATATTCATGTTCACCCAAACACCTCCCCTTCCTGCTGTTTCATACTTCGCGTTGTTTGCACCCTCGTTCAGCAATCGGCATAATAAAATTAATATAATATGAATCGAACATTCACTAGGACTTGGGACTGATCCGAAATTATAATACGGTATATTGGTTTAAAAGCCCTTTCCAACGCAGTAAGTTGTCCATGAAGTGAGACCTTCGAATCGAACGTCCTTCTCCGATAGGGCTCAGCCAAATGTGTGGAGAGCCTTTCAAAACATTCCAAAACTACTCAAGTCAGAACACTTCGTTGGGGATTCGAGCCTCGCCCATCCTCTCCGTAGTCCAGCATGACACCAACTGAGCTGACAGTGTGGCCTGGATAGATCTGACACTGTGACAATTATATAGAATCATTATTGTGCCCCGCACCCCCCCAAAAAAAAAAAATTTAAAAA